TCTTTTTTCCGTATGTATTACAACCTGGCGGTTCGCTCTCCCATAAAGTAGACCCGAGCTCTATTCTCAAGAGGGGATAATTATTTATTTTTAAAATCGAGTATCTTGGTCTTTCTTCTGGTATGCAGTGTGCCACTCAGCCCTGGTTGGCAGCAGGGTCAGAAGCCCGCCTCCGAAATGATCTTGATTATATCGATTGGGTGTGCGTGTTGGGGGGGGGGGGGTTGACAACTACATATTATTGTGAAAAGAAAATGACATTTCGTGAACTCAACAAATCGGGCTCGTTTTGAGAGTACAGTCGAAGCTGCTGTATCAGTTACATGTGCATGACAATGACCGCACAGACGACAACTTCCCATTTCCCCATTTGTTTAAACAAATAAAATACTCAAGACTTCCACCTGAGTAATTTAGGCAACACATTTCTCCTGGACAATTTTAACTCTATCACTTTATTAAGGCCCTACAAATGCTAAGAAAATGTAAAATAAAAATACATTTCAAAATGCCCGCTTATTTTGTGTCATTAGCCTTTTCATTTTGTTTGTTTGCTTTTTTGTTGCTGTTGTTGTTGTTCGTTTGTTTATTTGTTTTCATCAGTAAGTATGATAACAGGACTGCGAGTGTTCTTGAACTCACAGTCAGCATAACAACAGAACACAGGGTGATCTTGTGGCTTACATAGCAGTTTGTGATCAGTTCGTTAACTTTCCGAATTCTAGTGACGGCTCACGCACACACAAGATACGGGTTGGCACCACGTAGAGCTCACTCACTCCATCCCTCCCTCACTCACACACCCCTCACTCACCCTCACAAGTCGAACTCGTGCCCAGCCCAGCGCGCGTGTGGGGGGCAGGAGGGAGGGCGAGCAGGCGTGCGCGTGGGGCGAGGGGGTGAGGGGCGAGGGCTGGGGTATTTCAAGGAGCACCACACACAGCATCAGAATCTCCACTGCCGCCTGCCTTGTGCTGTTACGGTGTGATCGATGGGGCTATCACTCTCCCTGCACTGCCGGATTATGACAGATGTTGTGGTGGTGCGCGTAGCGTACTACGACTAGCGAGTTGCGACCAACAGAGACAGTCTTCAGCAGTTCGAGACAGAAATAGGAATACTTTCGGTTTTGTAATATAATAAATGTCTTTCTAGATAGAGCCGTGCTATCGTTCTAGTTCGATACACAGCGCCTAGCGTTGGTAGAAACGTTAGCTTCTGAGGTGGTTGATTTGCAAAGCGAAGAACATGGTGAGCTTTTCTCGTTGTAACTGTTGTCACTGTTGTTGATGTTGTTGATGTTGTAATTAGTAATGATGTCTTCTTTATTCTTCAAAAATCAGTTTAAACTTAACATGATGCAATAAAACACAGTGGCTTAAATTTTGAGTCTTTTTGAAAATAAATGACACCTCAAAAAGAGAGAATAATAAAACAAAAACATAATCTTTGTACTTTTCAAAACTATTTAATCCAGAACCGTTATTGTATTTACCGGCGCGCGGACACCCGGGCTAGTGTGATGGTGGACTACAGGCAAACTAGCCTGACCTCAGTGCAAATCCGAGATATGGTATTCTCAGACTTAGGCTGCTTTGCTGTATTAGTTGGTGTTTTTTCTTTTAACAAATGTGAGGCAGCGTGGTGGAATCAGGCTCTCGTCATTTTTGGGCATGTAGAGTTATTGGTATCATCTTAAAGCTGGTTCACTTGTTTTTGTTTGGCTGCAAAAAATATTCATTTATCTTGAATACAAGTCGAGATATTTTGCAAAAGAAGGAGGTGGGTCTCACCTGTTTTCTGAGGTAAAATTAGTGAGAACATGGTCGCCAAAGATTAGTTATTTCCTTAGCTTAAGAGTCCGTGGTAACTGAAGATTTACTTTTTTATGCCTTTAATCAACGCTTTTCAGAAAAATCCACACAGAAATGAGTTCTTTAATGGGCATGAAAGGTGTTGAGGCCAAAAACAAAAATTTGATAAAAATTTACAAACCCGTGGAAAAAAACAAGTTTCTTCACTTTGATTATTTTGACGAGAGCCTGCTTCCACCATGCTGCCTCACAAATATATCCGCAAAAATAGCTCAGTCCCGAGACAGATTGCCGATAAAATTTGGGAGCCCCAGTTAAAAAAATAACGCAAACATTTTTACTGGGGAATGAACTCATATCTTACCGTTTTCCTGCAGCTCTTTCAAATTGGTTCTTCAGAAAAAGTGCACCGTTTGCCAATAAAAAGCTATTTTACTGAAATAGCATTTTAAAACAACTTCAGCCGGATTCAGATACACACACAGTTGGAAGTAAAATATCTATGCAACTCAGCACTTAAACATGAATACTTATTTATTTTTGATAAAGCCCGAAGCAGAAATAGTAACTAATATACCTTTTGATATTGAGACTATAACGAATGAGGAATATATAAATAAATACCTAGTCTGTTTGTTCACTATCGGTGTCGGAGCTAAAATGCGTATGGGTCTAACGCCCCTGTCAACATTATTACTTTCGTTGTCTAAGAGGTTATCTAAGAAGCCGGACCTCCGAATTCAACGTCTATCCACAATAAGACTAGGCCAATTCAATGTGCTAAAAGCCTCCAGGAACCCCCAGGCTGGGATTCGAACCGGCACCGACCGCTCTGTAGTCCAGCATGATACCAACTGAGCTCAAGGAGCGCCCAGTGCCTTTGGTCTCAACTAAGAAATGAAATGACGTCTGACAAGAGCAGTGGTTGTAAAACAGCAGGAAAGCATTTATTGGCTGGATAAAGAAGACAAGGAAAATAACTTTCGTTTATAAGAGGACTGATGATATTCTGAATCGTATCAAACGGGTGTGGGCCAATAACTGCCATGCAACGGTTCTTCTTTGTACTGTTGCATGTCTGCTGGAATGCTGTATTCCTCCCAGCCCTGTTTTGACATGATAAAGATTGTCGAAGCAACCTTACCCAACCCCTTGCCTCCTACATGGGGTAAATTGAATTTTTAATAATAATTGTAATAATAATAATAATAAGAAGAAGAAGAAGAAGAAGAAGAAGAAGAAGAAGAAGAAGAAGAAGAAGAAGAAGAAGAAGAAGAAGAAGAAATATTATTTGTGTAGCGCATTATTATCTTAGCCCGACAGCAAGCTCTATGCGCTTTACACTATAGATATTATTACCCCAGCAGGCCATAGAACTTCCCGAAACACTTTCAGCTTCCCGAGAAGCATACAGTTCAAGCAACTGATTAAGCGCTCAAACACTAGGAAACTGACAAGCTCTTTTGCTGTCTACAGCTGGGTACCTATTCCCATCTGGCTAAAGTGAGGAAAATTCGCGTAAAGTGCCTTTCCCAAGGACACGACGTCGGACCCCAGACAGGATTCGAACCCTCGACCTTACGGTTGCGAGTCCGAGAACCTAATAACATGGGAGTAAAACGTGTGAAGGCAATCGCCTAGGGATGTATGCAGCCGAAACACAGCATTTTAAAGGAAAAGACAGTTACAAAATAAATCACTTGAACTAATCTGCTAAAATGTCAAGGACACTGAAGACAATAAAAGTCTCCCTTGTGAAAGAATAATCTATTTTGAAGGTACGATGTATTAAAAGTAACAGCAAACTGGCTCACTGAGACAATTAAATCAAGGGGAAAATAAGAGCTTTAATCACATAGGCAGACATAGATCTAACACCCACGGACAAACTTCTGGAAAAAGTAGCAGAGGATGCCCAAATCTAAGATGGTGTCACT